GATTAAGTTGCTAACCTAGAGTCTTAAAGTATTTACAAGTCTCTATCGAGTTTCTCATAAAAATATCTCTCTCAATTAATTTACTATATGTCTATACAAATTAAATTAAAGAAAGATTCATTAAGTTTGTGCTGTAATTTTAGCTACGTATGGCTTATAGATGTATGTCTACTCTATATGCAAATCAAACCACCTAATCATCCACTAAGTTTATTCAATCATACACTATTATATTCAAGGTCTACCTAAATCTCCTTCATTAGGTTTAACTCAAGTTTTCAATTCAATCTAATTGATGGCAATTCAATTAGAAGCATTATGAATAGAATAGAATAAACAACTTAAATCCATTAAACATAAGCAAAAGAAAGTAAGGATGGCAATGGGTACCTGATTATAGGGTATTCGTAGATACTTAACCTTATTATATAAAGGTAGGGTACCTTATAATCGACTTGGGGATGGGTTAAGGTAGTGATTTCATTACCCCTATCAGGTTTGGGTACCACCCTTTGGGTACTTGTTACCTCAAACTCGATTACTATTTATAAATATTTTATTATTCTTTTAATAATTAAATTAAAAATTTACAATTTTTACCAACTTTACAAGTAATTCTTTTTGTTAAAAGCTAACAAATATATGAAAAGTATGGTTACTCTAAGTATTAATATGATAACATTAATATATTTATATTAAAAACTTATTAGATTGTTAATTATGTTTAAAAAATATGAATATTATATTATATTATAAAGAAATATAATTATTATATATATAACTTTATTATAAATATATTTACTTTCTATTTTGTGTTAACATTACAAAAATTATGACTTATAAAATTATTAATTATAATATATATACCATTGTTTATATAATCTTATAATATATATACTTAAAGAAAGCTTTGAGATTAGAATAGTTTTGGAACCTAAGTGTTTTTTTTTAATTTCATGAAATTAAGAACAAATCTGTATAATTAATTAAATTAATTCATGAAACTATTATTATTAATTAACTTGTAATATCTTTTAATATATATACTTTATATATCTATTTTATTCATTTATAAGGAATATAATTACTATTATATATATTAAAATATTTTTGATGTGTACGTGTGTGTGTCTATATATATATATATATATATATATATATATATATGTACAACATATTTACTTTCTATTTTGTGTTAACATTACAAAAATTATAACTCATAAAATTATTAATTATAATATATATACCGTTATTTATATAAACTTATGACATATAAATCTAAAGAGAAGTTATGAAATTAGAATAGTTAATTCGGTACTTGGATACCTATGAAGAAGATTTTAATAATTTTTTTATTTAATTGGGTATTTAATTGGATTAGAGCAATTATAGGGTAATGGGAATGTATTAGGGTTAAGATTAGGGTAATAATTTTTAAAATTATTCAGGTAGTTAGTAAGGTTAAGGTATTTGATTTTTAATAGGGTTAGGGTTCAGATACCTCAAAATTAATGAGTACCCTACCCATTGATATCCCTAAAAGAAAGATAAATAAATCGGACTATGTATTGAATTTAATTATAATCTTAGATTAATAATTTAGCTCCTCATTAAACACCTACAAAAGAACAATTAATATCAATAACAATCGATCTTAATCATATTAACACCAAATTAAGTATAAAATTAACTAAAACTAGACTAACTCACCTAAATTACTAATTTAAAATAATTTAAATAAAATATACTAATTTCTACGCATTACCACAAGAACTAAACTAAATTACTATCAAAATTAAGCTTAAATAACTCTACATCATAGAGTAATTAGTATAATTTATCAATGTAATTCATTCCCTCATCATATATCCTAAAGATGATAATAGCTCGGTGCAGTGCCTACTCTTATGGACTTCCATATTTGTTCTTGTAGTTATATCATCAACTTCATGGAGACTTATAAAACTCATTTTATAATCTCCTAATCACCTTGGCCAAGGATTTGATTAAGTTAATGTCAACTAAGAACTAATGAGATATTTTTCCTTGAATCACTTAAGGTAATGATTCCTATCTTACCCACTCATTTGCCTTTATATGCTTAATATTATACCCAAAAACATCTTGTTTTGACATCCTTGATTATGCATCTGTAGGGATGAAATCAAAGTGTAGTTTTCTACTTACAAGACAATCTAGTGTCTCAAGTCTAGAGAGTAGTTACACAACTAACACATAAGAAGTATTGCATAGACACTTGAATGAGGTAGCAAATACACTTCTCAGGGCAAGTCATGTTCAGTAAATTCGCTCTCCCATGGCAAGCACCCACATGTTAGTCTCAAGTATCTCTATACTTCAACTTGTGAGAGCGGTTGTTTACTTCACAAGTAAAGAACATAACATGTGCCCATCTTTGAGCATTATTTATGCCCCGTCTCAATAATACAATGATTAAGAACTTTTGGGAACAATGCTTTGATGCATAGGGATCTCATAATTGTGTCCTAATACAATTCCCTTACAAGGCATATATAGTTCCATGGGTTTTATCTACATAAGTACAAAAGGTAATTAAATCAAAAACTTATGGATAAAGAATTACCTCAATGTTATTATGAATAACAAAATGTCATACATGAATATCTCAAAATTGTAATTCCCATACAATCACAGATTGGCTTGTAGAGCTCATACTAACATTTTTCTATTCCTAAATCTAAGGTTTTGGGTTTTCTCTCAGTAGTATTTTTTTCTTTTGCTCTCCTCTAGGTTTTTCTTAAAAAATTGTGGTTTCTTTTTTTTCATGGGTTACTGCCTCTCCCTACTTTATTTTTTTCTGCATCTTGTATTTATATGGAGTTGAAGATGTCATTCTTGGCACCTCAGCTGGCCATTGGATCACATCATCTTGGCCTTTGCCAAGTGCAAGAAATTGCACCTGGCAAAACGCATTTTGCATGTCATGGTTGTATGATTTCATTGTTTGCTTGTGTGGCCAACTGGCTTGATTGAGCTTCCAAATTGTTCTTTTAGTTTTGTATTAATCCTATTTATTTGCTTAATTTGATTAAATTTTAGTGTTTGGTCCATTTTTGTCTTAATTATTTTAACAAAATCTATTAGTGACAAATTAGAATTTGGATTTGGCTTAAGCAAGACTTAGAATTTTTAATGGCCCAAAAGAGCCCTTTAAAGCACTTAATTCTAACCCTAGACTCAACATCAGCCCATAGAACAAATACTAATAATAAGAGATTATAAAATATAAATTAATTTAAATAAATAAAATGGTGTCTACACCTTTATGTTTTTCTCTCAACCCCCGTCAAGTGAAACAGATGTCATGGGCTTATGCTTATCACTTATGGGAACATACCAATACTCCAAGGAAAGACTCACCAATAAGTAATAAGCACTAATTAAATAGTCTATATAAGTGTGACTTATAAATTCAATAATCCAAGACCATGACGACATGACCTAAGATAAGACAAAATATATAACAAAAACTACTAAAAGGTATGTTATATATATGCTTTTTACCCTAAACTTTTTATATACATGAACATGTTAGCTTTTTCTGATTTTTGCCCCCCAATAGTTTAATCCTAGATCTGTCTCTGAGAGAAAATTCTTCAAGTTAGGAAGAAAAAGGGAATTTGAAGAATGGGTGTTGATTATTTCAAAATTTTTTAGATGGATCAAAATGCATAAGATGAAAATTTGAAGAAAAGGTGTTAAAATTCTTTTAATTTTTTTATTAAGGTTTTTGAAAGAGAAAAGAGATAACATATTTTTTTAATAAAAGAGGTTATTTGTGTCTAAAGTATTTATTTAATATTAGATTGCATTTTTTTTAATTATTGATTAACAATGTTAACAGTCAAAGAGTCAAAAATATCATTTTAAAAAAAAATGAGTCAAAGTGTCCTTTTACAATGATCAGAGAGGAGTTTTTTAATTATACCCCTTTTTAATTCCCAATAGTTATAGTCTCTTTTCTCGTTTTCTTACTTAAAATACTACAATCACTGTTTGAAAATAAGTTTCTTTATATAATATATTTTTTTAATTTCTATTGTTTAGTTTGAGAACTGAGTGTATGAGAAAGAGGATTTTTTTTTTTTATTTTTTTTGTGAGAAATGTGATTTTAGATTACCTAAAGGGAGGTAGCTTTCTACTAATCTGTAAATTTTAGTCTGCCCATTTTAAGATTTCAATGTAAAACATTCAAAATAGAGCTCAAGTTTTAGTTGGAGTATCACTTAGAAGAGAAACCATTTATCAAATAAAAAAAAAGAAAGAATAAAAACAAAAGAAAATGTAAAGAGTAAGAAGATGCTGTAGATGGGATATCCTTTTAAATTATGCTCTTTCTTGTCCATATTATCCCAAACAAGATCCTTCCTACTCCTCCCCTTTCTAAATTAATTTTCTAGTACCTATGAATTATTATTATTTATTATTTTTATATCATTTATGAATAGTTGAAAACAATAATAAACAAAAAACATATTAATTATTATTAAATATAGCAAAAAAAATTCAATTTATATGACATTTATTTTGAAATGTTTTATACTTAGAGGCAATCAAATTTGACTTTTTTTTGTCTCCTTGCAAAAGAAAAAAAAAAGGATTATTCTTTTATTTTTATGAAAATAAAATGAAAATAATTATATGCGAAATTGGTTGAAAATTTAAAAGTTTCGAATTAGATTTTTTTGAAAAGACATAAAGAATATTTTGATAAATTAATTTTTTATTAATTAATATATAAATTGATAAATTATTAATTTATTGATAAACTAATAAATTTTCATAGTTCAAGCTAGTGAATAATTTTTGGATGAATTTATTGCCAATTTGAATAGAAGAAAATACAAAACGAATAATAAAAGTTGCACCAAATTGCCAAGAACAAAAGCCTTTCAAATTTGGTCCACGTTCAAGCCTTGTATGGGGCACACATTCCATTTGGTTTCATGGCAATGTTTAAAGCCACTCAACTTCACAAAGTCATCTCTCTTTCTTTCCCTCATGAGAAGCTAAGAGCTTTTGAGACCAAACAATTGGGAAGGCCCGCCATGGCTTTTCTGCTAACTAACCTTTCTTCTTCTCTCCTCCTTCAAACCAGAACTTGCTCTAAAGATAGAGAAAAACCCATTCACCAACCACTGCTTTCCCAAACTCCCAAGCTCTCCTCTGGAACTCTAACTGTGCAATCCCCAACCCTCCGAGGCTCCCAGGTTAAGGTTCACTCTCCCTCACTTCACCAGGACAAGCAACAGCACCCCCACCAAAGAGATGAGTTTTATGTCAACCTAGGACTTGCTGTTAGGACTCTTCGTGAGGATTTGCCTTTGCTTTTCACCAGAGACCTCAATTATGACATTTACAGGTAATTTCTTCTTCTGGGTTTTTCTTTTCTTCCCTTGGGAATTCGGGATTTTGTTTTGTTGAAGTTTGTGTTTCTCTCTTTTTTTGCAGGGATGATATTACTTTTGTAGACCCTTTGAATACATTTTCTGGTATTGAAAACTACAAATTGATCTTCTGGGCTTTGAGATTTCATGGTAAAATATTGTTCAGAGAGATTTCCCTTGAAGTTTTTAGGATTTGGCAACCTTCAGAGAATATCATATTGATTAGATGGAACTTGAGAGGTGTCCCTAGAGTTCCATGGGAGGCCAAGGGACAGTTTCAGGGTACTTCAAGGTACAAATTAGATCGAAATGGAAAAATCTATGAGCATAAGGTTGATAATTTAGCATTTAATTTCCCACAGCCGTTTAAACCAGCAGCCTCCGTGTTGGATTTGGTTGCTGCTTGCCCGGCAAGTCCTAATCCAACATTTCTATGGGGCCCTGTGGACATGTATCAATCATCTTGGGTTGAGTTTTATCGTGCAGTTAGAGAGACATTGGATCGAGAAGGATATTTGCTTGCTCAAGATGGTTTCGCTACTTGTTCATAGTCTGAGTTACTTCATACTTATTGTATATGGTGAAATTTTATAATATATACGTGTATCAGCACATTACCATTTTTATAATGGATCTGGAAATAGCTAGTAAAGGTTTTGTTGAAGGATAAGGTGTATGTACATAGGCCAGAACGCTGGAGAGTTTCATGTAATTCTTGAGTTGCCAGAGGAAGAGAAGCCTGGGCATATTTGGTTCAGCTCTTAGAAGGCAATGTGTATGTATACAGAATCTTAATCTATTGATTTAATTAGAGCTTATATTCACTTGCTTACATCATTGAATATCATAATTTGCTTTTGGATTGAGTCCACAATCGGTTGTTGCTTGCATCAAGACATGAAAAGGGTGAGAAGTAAAGGATGGATAACAGGCTTCCCTTTCAACAAACTGCCTATTTCTATGATTGCAGTTTAGAAGGAAAATCATATACTTATGCTGTTGTTCTAATATTTCATACATGTATCAAAGCTCTCCAATTTCAAAAGTTACAGGACATAGTTCTGTGAGAAGTGGAAACCTTTATGTGTGCTATTTATTATATTAAGAATAAATAGGAACAACATATCTGTGTACTGTAAAGCTTTCATTTTCCTATTATGTCTATCAAGATATTAATGTCCTGTTGGTCCATATTGCATCTCTAGCTTCTAGTTTAAATAAGCATATACTTCACTGTAATTTTTTTATACAGAAATAGATTTGCATGTAGACATAGAAACTGGGTTTTATAGCATGTGGGAGGTTGAGCTTTAAAATTTATGGGCTCATCCTTGGCCAGATTATTGTTTGTGTCTCTGTTTACTCATTGAACACATCACTTCTTTTTGAACCTCATTTGCAGTTATTTCTTCAAGTCAGCCATATCTTCTCTAGCAATATGCAATTATGGCATAACCTTTTTCTTGGTAATATTGTTTAATTGAAGAATTTTGTGCCTCAAGGAAGATTATATGGTTGGTCAACAAGGAAAAGATTATTTGTTGGTGCCTAGAATGATGTAGTTAAACAGCTGATCCTTCATCTTTCATAAAGTAGGGCAGCTGCTGAGTAAACCACTCAAGCTACTCTTTCTTGGGTTTAATCTTTGTCTGATTGTTATTTAGGTGGTCATTATATGGACACTGCAGTTCTTTAAGAACCATTAGTTTACTCTTGATACCATTCAGCTGAACTCATTTAGTTAGAACTATTAGGTGATTGTTATAGGTTTTTGCTCTTTAAAGGCTTGGATGACTATCATAAAGGTTTTATTACTTGATCAATTTATGTTTACCCTGATAATTTACACCTGTGCAACATGAATCTTTTGCAGTATAATATGATAGGGACACATTCATGTGGTAATCCTTGACAAGGTAGAATATGATACAGCAGATACATGGTCATTATGCAACAGTTGGAAGTTTATTATAGAATCAATCTTTCTTATAAATAGCTAAACCTTTTATGATATATACCTTCGGTGCTTCTTAGTTATGAACTCATTGTTTGTCTCAGCTAAAATGGCCATCTCCAGGTTGCATTCATGTTTGATGTATATCTAAATGTATCTAAAAGGTATTAGATACAATTTAGAAATTGTCTTTTTTTCCAGATTCAATGTAGAAGTTGATTTTATTCTTTTATAAGAAAAAGTATTTTCATATGTTTGCAAGCAAAAGCTACGCAGATAGAACCGTCTGTTTGGTATCTTCTGTGTTAGACACTTGTGTGGGATATGACACTTTTTAGAAGTATTCTGTAACATAGGTTGAAATTAAGATCATGAAGATTTATCTAATTTTCAAAAGGAATAATTTGAAGTATTTTTCTTCGAAGTTCTTGTTACATTTTTGTCAACCGTATGGCGTTCTTCTCGCTATAGTCTGTAAGAATATTCTTCTTGTATTTGCCTCGAGCTTGTTTCTTTAATTTGTTCTGTGGTTTGTCCATCTTAATCCTATTATGTTTGAAGTTTGATATAAAGTGTGAATTCCTCTTGGTGATTATTTTATTTAGAATTTAAATAATCTCCAGGTAGTTCATTTGTTATCCTTCCATCTATTTGGGGTGTTGTTAATCTCACATCTTGTGATTTTCACTCACCCATCTTTGATCCTGGAATGCATTTGTAACATATAATGTGTTAAATGACAAGCAATCTGCTATTGCAATGACCATGAATTGTCCAGTCATGCTACTTACTCTTGTATAATGAATGATGTCCTGAATCCGAAATTCCTTATGTGGGCTGTGGCTTTGCATGAGAACTGAGTTATGGCTGAGTTGATTAAGTCAAGCTGAGTCAAGTTATTTATGGCTTTGAGTTGTAATTGAGTTGATTAAGTTATTCGCTTATTGTTTAGGCTTGGATAAAACAAGTGGGGTTTATTGTACAATGATCCCGTTGTCAGATTTGCACCACTCAAAACTTTGTTACCTTTATTCGTTGGATCTTAAACACATATAGAAACGTTTAATAATAGTGTTATATGACACGATTAATACATTTATTATATATATATCAAGATAAATTTTATACGAATGACACGTTTACATGATGAATAGGTTTGAAATTTATACGATTTATAATCTTTTACATGATTAACTCGATTAAAACATGATTAAAATAATTTAATTAAAATATATACAATTATAGTATAATTCCATTATTCAAATTTACCATAAATATAATACAGTTCAACGTCATTAAATCCAGAATTATCATCCCCAATTATAAATTATAATAATATTTAACCATAATTATCCAATATTAATCATAATTATGATTAAGAAAGGATCAAGTATAGGGGGCAAAATAAATACTAATTCAAGAGAAAGTCAAGTCCGTTTCTTTACTTTGTGCTAAAATCGTGGCTTCTCTGTTGCTTTGACTCACTTTATTGGGATATTACTAACTCAATGAAGAACACTTTGGCTATCATTATTAACACGAACAACCTCCTGTTGTCTAGTCGTCAATTCCTCAAGAAGCCTTTGCAGCCATATAGTTTCCTTGCAACCATGCGTTGCTGCCATGTATTTTGCCTCTGTTGTTGGTGATGCTACAACTGATTGTAGTTTTGATTCCAGGCTAATTACACCTCCTGACATGGTAAAAATGTAGCCTGTAATAAACCTCCTTCTATCCTTATCACCAGCAAAATCTGCATCAACAAAACCAGTGGATTGTAGCTTTATGTGCCCAAAACACAATGAGACATTATGAGTGCCTCCTAGATATCTAAGGATCCACTTGACAGCCATCCAATGATCATGACCTGGATTTTCCATATACCTCCTAACTACTCCCATTGCTTGTGCAAGGTTTGGTCTTGTACATATCATGGCAAACATAAGCCACTTTACTGTTAATGAATATGGTACTCGAGACATCGCTTCCTTCTCTGCTTCACTGCTGGGAGGTAATTTTGAAGACAATTTAATATGAACAGAAAATGGGGTACTTACTAGTTTTGCATTGTGCATGTTGAAAGGCAGCAGAATTCTTTCTATATAACCCTTTTGAAATAACCAGATCTTCTTGTCCTTTCTTTTTTTGAGTACCTTCATCTTAAGAATCTAATTCACAACTCCCAAATCCTCCATTTCAAATTCCCAAACCAATTGAGCTTTTATTGTAGATGCGTGTTCCAAATTATTGCTTGCAATAATCATATCGTCTACATATAATAACAAGATACATAAGCACTCATTACCTAAGTTACAAGTGTAACTATAATGGTCAGCCTCGCATCTTTGAAAACCTAAGCTCACAATGAAGGTATCAAATTGCTTATACCAACACCGAGGCACCTGCTTGTGACCGTAAAGGAATTTGTTTAGCCAAAAAACTAGATTTTTCTTTCTTTTGCAAGGCCTCGATGATGGAACTTTTAGAGAACCCTGCGAAGGTGAGTTCGCTTGGAAACTCTTATACGTGAAAGAATATATATTTGGGTCTCACTAACATGATGAAAGAGCTTGGAGAATGTTCTTAATAAAAAATCTTTACTTTGTACTAGCGTTTACATTCATGAAAATATTATTTTTTTTTAATGGCAAGTGATCATATAACGGAGCCAATTAAGGCAATACAAAGAAACTGCCAAGGACAGTTCAGAAGATTGACTTACAGGAAAGCCACAACAATAAAAAGGAAAAAATCAACATAAACCCAGATATTCATGAACTCAACAAAGTGAACTAATGGGATGGACAGAATAGAGACTAAACACCTTTATTTTCCAAAACAGGATTAAATCAAAGTTAAAAAATGATTGAAGCTGATAGTCCCAGCTTTTGCAAGCCCGTCAGCTAGAGTGTTTGCCTTTCTGTTAATGTGAGTGAAGGTAAGATCCTTGGAACTTGTTTTGAACGCTTCAATACAGTTGGATAAAAGCTTCATACGCCACAGAACAGAGTTATGGTCCGATGCCCAAGTGATGGCATTTTTGGAGTTGCTTTCAACATAGAGAGTGCTGGAGGCCTAAGGTGAAGAAAAAAAGAAGGAGAGGCCCTCTTTGAAAGCCAGAAACTCAGCGTAGTTGGAGTCCTCGATGCTAATGGGAGTAGAGAAAACCCCTTTAATGAAACCTTCATGATCTCTAATGGGCCCCCCAATACCTGCAAGCCCTAGTTTCCCTAAAGCAGAACTATCAACATTTAGTTTGTAAGAACCTAGTGGTGGTCTCATCCATTTGGAGATGGCTTTTCTTTTGCATTTCCTAATATTGATGCAAATTCTACAAGTTCGAAAAGGAAGTGAGAAGCTGGAATGTGGTCAAGTGGTCATTTTCCCTTGCACCAATAGGCTAACCTAACAAGGATAATGTCTTGCAGCTGATTCACATTAAGGTGCTTACCTTGGAAGAGGGTTTCATTTCTACAAAGCCAAATTGACCATAAGGTAGAGAAGAAAAGCATGTGCCATATTTCAAGAGAACCATAAGGTGGTTTATTGTTCAGCCAAGAGACAAAAAAGATAGTAGCATTACTTGGGTGAACCAAGCTAAGCCCCCAAAGGCTGCAATTGTGCATCCAGATGTTTCAAGTTACCAAACAAGTGAAGAAGAGATGAAAAGAAGTCTCAGGTTCAGCATTGTAAAAGGTACACTGGGAAGCATTAATATCAAGCAAACCCCTTTTGAAGAGTTCATACTTGACAGTGACTTTTCCAAGGAGGACCTGCCATGTGAAGACTTCAATTTTTGGGGGGGCATGTCCCTTCCAAAGCTGCCTTTAATGAGGCTTGGGAGCCCAAATGTTCGACTGGAAATGGTTGACAAAAGATGAAGGCGTGTAAGTACTACTAGTCGATTTTTTCCAAATGGCTTGGTATGGGGCAGAATGGTGGGGCTGGATTGATTTGATGACATCCAAGAAATTACTCCACTGACCAAGTTCCCAATTAAATGGGTTACTCCTTAGTTGAATGTTTCACCTCCAACAATTCCTTTCCTATGAACCGAAGTCAGCAACAACTCCTATTTTATTAATAGCAAGTGTAAAATTCTTGGAAATCTTAGCGAAAGAGAATGGTTATCAAGCCAAGGGTCAGTTTAGAAGTGAATGGTTTTCCCATTGTCGAGCATGAAGCCAAGGTTGGACATCACTTGGTCGTGGAAGGCATCATCATTAGCAAGAGGGCGAGCTATGTTTCTCCATAAGGTTGATGATTTGCATGAAGGGGCAGTAGGGAAAAGAGCTTACGGGTTTGAGATTATTCTTGACAGTAATGACATTTCTCCATAGGCTGTGGGGCTCATTGGCATATTGCCAAAGCCATTTATTAAGTAATGCTTTATTTTTTAAACCCAAATCAATGATGCCAAGGCCCCCACAACATTTGGGTCTAGTGACCAAAGGCCATTGGACATAATGAATTTTCTTTTTATCTTCACATCCTGACTAAAGGAAGTCTTTTTGAATTTTTTCAAGTTTGCTCTTTACACCAACAGGCATTTTGAGAATGGAAAGATAATAAAGGGAAAGGCTCTCAAGAATTGACTTGATACAGGTGAGTCTACCACCTATTGAAAGATAATGCCCCTTCCAAGAAGCCAAACGAGCATGAAATCTCTCAATAATGGGATTCCATAAGGACACTGAGTTAGCTGCAACACCGAGAGGAAGTCCAAGGTAGTTTGTTAGAAGTTTATCAATTTTACATTCGAGGTAGGTGGCCCAATGTTGAAGGTCTTGTTGGGGTACTTTGATACCGATGAGACTACTCTTACAAAAGTTGATTTTAAGCCCTGAAATAGCTTGAAAACCCTTCAAGATTCTGCTCATATTTTTTAGAGAGTCAAGTCTCGGTTTGCAAAAGATAAGCATGTCATCGGTAAATTAGAAGTGAGTGATAACGAGGATGCTATCATGAATAGAAAGACCCTCGAAAAGGTTACAAGAAACTACTTTGACACACATGATGTTAAGGGATTCCACCATAATATTGAAAAGCATGGGGGAAAGGGGACAACCTTGTCTTAAGCCTCGTTGCATCTTAAATTGAGAAGTGGGAGAGCCACTGATGAGAACTGAAATAGAAGCAGTGGAGATGCAATAGTGGATCCAAGAACACCACCGATCACCGAAGCCCATGAGCTTCATAATAAAACATAAAAAGTCCCATTCAATGCAATCAAAAGCCTTCTCGAAATCAACCTTGAAAAGAGTACCATCTTGCTTCCTTTTCTTGATTGAATCAAGGAGCTCATTAGCAATGAGCGAGCAATCCAAGATCTGTCTTCTTTTGATAAAAGCAAATTACGAATTTCCTATGATAGATCCTATAATTGGCTTTAATCTGTTGGAGAAGACTTTAGCAAGAATTTTATAAGAACTGCTAACGAGACTTATTGGTCGAAATTGGGAGAAGTTGTTAGCACCATTGCATTTTGGGACAAGGGTGATGAATGATGAGTTGATATTCCTGTTGAAAACATCATTAGAATAGATATGTTCAAAAAAGTTGAGGACACTACCTTTGATTGATGGCCATAATTTTTTGTAGAAATCAATGTTGAAGCCATCTAGATCAAGCGCCTTATTTCCATCACAGTCTTGAATGGCATTCCAAACCTCCTCTTCCATGAAAGAAAGCTCTAAAGTAATCCTTTGGGAGTCACTGATTTGTTGAAAGGGGCAATCAAAGGTTCTAAGCTTAAGAGTAGTGCCTTTAGCATACAATTTCTTGAAATGCTGGATCACTTCTTTATGGATGTCTTTGGGGTTGTCCAGATTAGTTTCGTTGGTTGAAATCTGATGGATAAGGTTTTTCCTTCTACGATTGGAGGCTGAAAGTTGAAAAAATTTTGTATTTTGATCGCCAAGTTGAGTCCATTTAAATCTGAATGTTTGAAACCACGCCGTTCTTGTCTTCTATATAATTCCTGGAGTTTAGTGCGGGATGTAGAAAGAGAGTTTTTTTCTTGGGTGGATAAAGTTCTGGTTTCTGCCACTTTTTCAACTTCATTAATTTTATTCTCTAGAAGGCTAATTTGATTAGTGTCCAGCCTGTGGTGATCTGATTGCCACTTTTTGACGATGTTTTTTAGAGCTTTGAGTTGGTTAAAAAGAACAGGTCTGACATTGTCACTGTGGGTGATGCTAGACCAAGAATTGTTAACAAAAGAAGCGAATTCTTTGTCTTCAAACCAGTAGGTAAACAATCTGAAAGGCTTGAGGCCCCAAGATTCCTTGTCAGTCTCAACAATATTTGGTTTGTGCTCAGAGAGGGATCTTGAAAGGCATTTCTGGATAATCGAGGGATAAAGAAGAAGAAGCTCACAACTCACCAAGAATCTATCCAGTCTGTAGTTAATGGGGGGGGTCTCTGTTATTAAACCAACTATAAAGTCCACCAACCATAAGAAGATCCATAAGAGACATGTCATTAATGAAAGAAGAAAAGGTTTCCATGCCTTGAACATCCAGATTACCCCTTGACTTTTCATCAGAAGCTTTGAAGATGTTGAAATCACCAGCAATACACCAAGGAGAAGAGGAGTTGTTTTACAAGTTGATTAACTCAGCCCATAAGGTAGCACGCTCGATAGCATCATTAGGCCCATAAAGATTAACAAAAGTGCAATGAGTATTCAAATGAGGGATTAAACCAGAGAGAATAATGTACCTTTGTGAGATCATGGAGTTCTCCAATTTGAAGAAGTTGTTTGACCATAAGAAAATTAAACCCCCTATAGTTCTAACTGACGGTGACCAACTACTGCTATAATTACTGATTTTCCAAAGAGAGTCAAGAAGTTTGCTATTCACATCCTGTTTCTTGGTCTCTTGAAGGAAGACAATTTCTAGTTTGAGGCTTGAGACTAGCTACTAAACTGCCCTTCTTTTGACTGAATGGCCAAGCCCTCTGATGTTCCATGAAAGGATGCAAACCATGGGAAAAGGAATAAGAAGACGCACTAGTTCAAAATCCTCAATTTCGTTGTCCCATAACACGGTTGGTCATTTTGGTGTCCTTGCCAATTTCTTCCAATTGTTTAATAGCCTCATCTTTATCTAATTCAAAACTCAGACCAAGTTGAGAGCAAACTCGCCATGTGTGGGCTGCTTCGCTAACATCAGATAGTTCCCCAATATTTTCAAGTTGAGGAGTTCTGCACATAAAGGATCATTGAACAAGTCTATAAGGTCTTTCCTTTTGTGTTTTTTCTTGCTTTCTTTCCCCAATTTTGGTTGGCTTTTTGACTTTGATCTAACATCTCTGTCCACAGACGAAGGCTTTTTCAGCTTAGAGGGTCTTTTAAGGTGGAAGGTGGCTCTTTTCTCCTTTAGCTTTTTTGTTTTGGTTTTGGACTTTACTAACATTGGTTCTGTTGATGATGAATCGATAGGTGTTGGTGGCTTTGACTAAGGAGATTGGGTGACTTTTTCTTTTGAGTGTGAAGCATGTTGGGTTTTAAAGGCTACAGGCTTTGGGAAGTTTTGAGATAAGGTTCCTTCAGATGAAGAGCTCGAATGAGGTGGGATTAGCTTTGTTTGGGGTTGAGCTTTAATGTACAAGTTTGGTGTTTGGGTGTGGGTATGATGAGGAATGACTTGGGTTTATATTTGTGTTTGTGTGGGCTGGGTTTAACAAGGTTGGGGTGTAGGTTTGTAGGGTGTTTTGTTTTTTTGGGCTTTTATGGGGCCGAGCTTGGGTTAGTGATGGGGGGGGCTGAGTGGTGATTAGATAATTGGGGGCTTTTGCCTTCGGTTTGGTTATGGGCAAGCTTGCTGTTGAATAGGTGAGTTTGTGTTGTAGATTGAGAGCTTTGAATCCTTATGGGTTGGGGTGTTTGGTCTTCAAAAGTGAATGGGCAGTGTCTTTCAGGATCTTTGCTGGGTTCATTGCTTGATGCTGATTGGCATGGGCTGTCCCATCTCTTAGATTGGTCAAGATATTTGGCGTGGCTGTTTGGAAAAGACACAGTGGGCGATGGAACTTAGGTGGGGGTCCTAAGGGGAGCTGCATGTTTGGATCTCTATGAAACTATTATTTTTACTCGCAACTTATTACTCCAATGATGAGATTTGCTTGATAAGCTTGTGAATGCAAGTTTTCTAAGAGTATTCCCAAATCTCATTAGTATCATGGGCAGGGAATATTCTCAATAAAAAAATTTTATTTGACATTTATCGTGATTTATAGTATGCATTTATAATTACATCATGTGCATATCACACCAATAAACTGAATAATGGACTTTAGATCAGAAATAAAATAAAAAATAATCTTATCTTTTAAAAAATTCATTTGGAGAAAGAAAAAGAGAAAATTCCTTTTTCATACGGATGATGCATATATATATATATATAAATTGTACCTCAAATATAAGAAAGAGGAAGAGAAACGCTACAATAAATAAGAAATAAATATTCTTACTGGATGTTGAAATTGTAATTGTTGTTCTCTTCACTAAGTACTTAACAGGTCTTCCGAAGCCCTTTTGGAACTTAAACAAAACTCCCTGTAAGGGATGAAAGACCTTGATCTAACCCCCAAGAATCCTCGTCACCTTTCTCGTTTGTGCTGGAATTGGTGTTGGCTCAGTCTGTTAAGGCAAGATCCAAAGCGTTTGCAAGAAGGAACCCTTGGGATTGACCTAGGGTTCTTGATTTTGCACGAATCTGAGCGTCCATCACTACCACTTGATCTTATGGATTGACCATCGGACCTCGGATTCATTAATTTGGTAATATCCTTTAAAACACAAGGTTTATCAGCAACCAATGCATTAACTCCAGAGATCGGTGTCTTTTTCTCTGTTCCTTGAGAAATGTCAAGCCACTCAGGCTTTCTCCCTCTTGTCCGCTGAGCTTGAGGTCTATCCGGTTGCTTCATTCTTCTAAATATAAACTCGTAAACTAGTTGACCGTATTTTCCTGTCACTAGCTTATAGTCCTCCACCTTGTACAAGCCTTGATAAACAAACTTGTTGGCAGATCCCCAGGGATTCTTAACCTTTCGTACAACTCTTATGGGGTTTTTCATCATCATGCTATTCTCCAATGCCAGGTTTCCTCGTTCAAGCGTTTGGTCTTCAGGTTTTGCTATGTTCTGAGTGCTTGGGTTTCCACCTTCTCCTGAATAAATAAAGACATCAGGAGAGCTTGGGTAATCAGTCTTTGAATGCCGTCCGGAATCAACAACGCTCGTGGCTAATGTTCTTCCATTAATCTTTACATAATCGATGCCTCTCCAAAGCTGACAATGGAGGCCAATAACTCTCAATTCAGCTCTACATTGAAAAGCGTCACCGACTTCAACTCCTGGGATAGCTCCAAGTCGTTTTTCGGTGTTGAGCCATTTTCCCTGATCTCGGAGTAAAACGGCGGCCTTGATGTGATCATTAACACCGTCACCGTTCCTGGGATTTTCCAGCCTGACATCAGATAGTACCTTCCGGACAAGTTTGATAGTCTCATCAACTTTATCACTGCGAGCACTACTCTCAAAGTTATCTTCAACAGACTGGCCTTTGGGCTGGTAAAAAGTGGAGGTAACAGCGACATCCCATGGATTGGTGTCTGCTGCAGACTTCCCAATTCCATTGGCTGAAGTACTGTTGAACAAGCGAGAATGTTGGGTTCTGCATCGACTAGAAACAGGAAATTCCGCGACAGGTTTTCCATCGGCTGGCTTACTGTTTATCGGAACCAAACAACAAATTTGGTTCTGACAGGCAGCCGGATAATCTCTTCCAGCTTTGAGTTTCGGACTTGGGGCTGGTTTAAAGCCCAGATCTTCACGCAATTTATGATGCTGATGAAAAGCATCAAGCTTTCGGTTCTTTGCTAAAGCTGCAGTATCGGCCATGAGGGTTCTACTGTAAGAAGAAATTAAAAAAAAAAAAACCATTACTGAAAGCTAAAAGATAAAGCATAGATTTCATCAAAGTTATGTAGCAAAACAAACAATTATTAAGAAACACTGATCAAAGCCCAACAATTTCTATATATTTTCAATAACAAATTAGATCAGACAAAAGAAAAGGTCTAAAAGAAAGTTCATAATAATGACAAAGAAACTATGAACAGAGGAACCAAGAAATATTGCAGAAGAAAGAGTACCCAATGCTGAAACAAAAAAGAAAGATGGAAACGCTAGACTCTCCAGTCTTCGGATAAAGAGATTTTGTACCCCCATCACTCGGTATGAAAAAGAAATAATGTGAATAGTCTTAGAGATACAATAAAGTTAACGTCTAAGTTCGTCTTGCACTTTAACGATAATAGACCGCTAAATACATATGAGGGTTTATAAAATTGTTTTGACCTTAGAACTTACTTTCTACAGTAAGTAAATTATAAAGAATTTGGAAGCTTTTGTAATTGATGGAAACTTAAGTGTTTATGTTAATAGAACACAATACTTTTATTGCTCTTAATATTTATGCTCTTGTTTTGTGTTTTATTTGATTTGCCAAAATGATTAGCAACAAGCCTTTTATATAGGCTTGTAAGTGTCTCTTTTTCAAAGACACACCCTTTCATTAAAGCATCATTTTGTCTAAAATGTATTTTTTCAACTTTTTTGGATAAAGGTATTGTTTCAATAATCATCTTATAGAATGAGAACTATTCATTTCATAAAACATAATTTTTGAGTTCTAATTTGAAACAATAACTTTTCATATTTAACTTTTGAGCTATGGTGTGTTTTCGATATGTTCCATAACTTTTGAATGTCATTTTATCAATAAACATAACAATTCACATGAAAACCTGCTTAAAATCCAATAGATATACTATGTCACTTTATTTGACGTAACATTTGATCTAAGATAACTTTTCATCATGTGACATAACTTTTGATTTTGAAAATATACCAACAATACGAATATGATTAATTGTGCTAAGATTTTAAATGTGTATACAATATGTTTAATATTCTTGTGATATGATATGACACGATTAACACATTTATTGAATGTGTAAATTAAATTTTATATGACATGACACGACTAATTTATACGGTTAATATAATTAACATTTATATAATTTATAATTTTTCACAATTAACATAATTAAAATAATTTAATTGAAATATGTACAATTATAATTTAATTCAATTCAACCAGATTTTTTCATGGTTATCGACTAGCTGCAGTTTCATGCTAAGTCTTGAATTTGGTATATTGGCTTGTAGCTATGGTTTTTGAACCCTCACTCTGCCTTTTTGTCCCCACAGTTGGTGAGGTACCACAAAGAGGGCAGTAAAAAAGCACCTTTGTAACCCACATGGTATGCATTAATATTTCCATAGCCACTGCCTTTCAAAAAAAAATTTAATTATTTAAATTTATCACAAAAAATCATAAATATAATAAAATTTAAGATGACTAAATTCATAATCATCATCCACAATTGTAAACCATAATAAAATTCAATCGTAATTATCCAATATCAACCATAATTAAATTGATCACCATATCACATCATTAGCCATATAAAAAAATTCAAATAACATCAACCATAACACCAAAAAAATTCAAATATCAATCATATCACATAATCCACCATAACACCAATTATTCAATTATTCAAATAGCCAACACCTATTTATGAAATAAAAAAAGATTAATAAAATTAGATCAAAATAAAAATTTAAATTAGATCACAAAATATGAAAAAGATTAGGAAATCTATGCCGAAAAGAAAAACAAATTGAAAAAAAAAGCAATATTGGTTTTTTTATAAGAGAAAAACTATGTATTCTCAAATTAAATTTGTGAATGCAAAACAGCTGTAATGAATTATGACTTGAAGATGTGTATTTATATAGCAAAACATCTTTTAACATCTTTCTTTCAAGCTTCTGATAGTTAATGAATTAATTTTTTTTAAATGAAAGTATTGACTTATATAGAAAACATAAGCCAAACTCATAGTTCATGATGATAGGACCAAAGCATAAACCTATAAGATAGTATAAGATAATTAAGCATCTACCTAACTTAATCAAGAAAAGTATGCAAATAAACTATTTTCAAAAATGAGAGAACAATACACATTTCCAAAAGCTACTTTGAAATGTAATTTGAGTCAAGATTTAGTACTAATTAGGTGTCAAAAGGCATCAAACAAGATTTAATCAATTAATTATTGATGCAAGTTTTATTTCTTATTAAAAAAAAGAAAAAATTGACTTTAAAATTTAAAATACAACTAAAATTTTTTGAGATTGAAACAAAACAACCATGAGATGCAATATTTATATAGCACAACACAATAAAAACAAAGCAATAAATCACCAAATACGATTTGCTCAGAGCTGTCAACTTCAAACATAAATAAGCCAATCAATGAAGAAAAGCCAAATAAACCGATTAGGAAGTGAAGACCAAAATCTGTGAATTGAAGCTCAAATGAAGACTAGAAGATGCTGCAGTCATGAAGAAGAAGAAGAAAAGGAAGGAATTGGTGGTGTTGTCGTAATGGTGAGTGGGTGATGGCCGGTGTTTGCTTAGAGCCTTGGAGTGGGGTTGGGCTGATTAGGGTCTTGGAGGAGGCTGTCATTGAGGTAAGGGCTAAAAATTGAAATTATTGCATTAGGGATTTAGGGTAAAAAACCATTTATATGACTTATAAACTAGTTTTAACCGTGTACTAAACGTGTTGTATAGACACATTTACACGTTTTAAATAAATAGATAATAAACGGATCACGAGTTATATCAATAAATGATAACACGATTAATTAATTGTATTTTAGACATGCTGTATACAGGTTGAGCGGGTTTGACACAGTTAAGATGCGATTTATTCGTATCTTAATTATGTGGACACGATTAATACACGATTACACCAAACTCAAACCTACTTAAAATCATGTTGTGTTGTCGTATCATATACAAAATTGTCAACTCTAACCGAAGCTTTTTTCTTACTATCTAAAAAATAAGATTAATAAACTTTAACACTAAGATTAGTAGATTACTAAGTTATGGATTTTATTAGAGTGAATTCTATGGTAAGGTCAAAAGATTTGATCTTATTGTAAAGTTATTGAATAATGGCCTTAATATTTACAAGGTTTAAAAACACAATTACAACCTATTAACACCCTAAACAAGTTTCAAACAAAACAAAATTTAAATGGAAAAAAATGTGGGAAAGAAATTGTGAGAGCTTACCAAAGAGACTCTTCCCAATTGAAGGAGTACTATTTCTGACCAAGGGCTCCCAAATATCTTAAGTTTTGTTTTTGTTTTATTTTTTGTCAACAAGTACAAGCCTTTTTTTCAAAGTTTGGGTTTCACTTCAACAATCCTTTTATTTTTTTCTCTTTGTTTTCTTCAACAAAAACTATAGGTAAAACTTTGGCTTTGATTCTTTCGAATTATATGCTATTGAGTTTTAGGTTAACTAGAATTATAAATCTTATTTCACTAGGATTCTTATTTGTGTATAACATTGAGTAGTTGTAGGATTTTAAACTTTTTGTTCCACATCAAGTACAAATCTCATTCTACTTTAGACTTTTATATTATAAAAGTGGATCTCTAGGCATTAGAAATGTAAGTAGTGCTTTAGGAGCTCTAGAGAGGGAATACCATATAACTTTGTCTTTTGCTCTAAATGGAGTTAAAGTGGCTTGGATGAATTTCTTGGGAGGTTATTGAGAAAGGGTGTGCAAAGTATCTTAGGTTGGTTTGGGAAACCATAAAGTTCAATTTATTGTACTTTAATTTCTCAATAATAGAAGAATAGTTTCACTTTGTGAACATTGGCAAGAGGTCAAACCACGTAAATTCTTTTGTTTTTCTTTTTGTTTGATTTTGTTGTGTTTTATCTTTATTGTTTCTTAGGAAATTTTCGCAACAAACTAGTATCAAAGCTTCAGGTTTAGTAAATTCAAGATTCAATAAGGATGTTGAAAGTTACTAGTTATTCAAAATTTTCAATTGGGAAGTTTGATGGGAAAACTAGTTTCATGTAGTGGTAGAGAAGGATGAAAAATCTCCTTGTGTAGTAAGGTTTGATGCATCCTTGCTAGGGAAGGAGAAAAGGTAACCAGATGGCACGAAAGATGTAGTGGAATGGAAAGAGTTAGAGAAAATTTGTGTAAGCACTGCTGACTTTGCATCGAGATAAAATGTTTAACCATGTTATTGATGAGAATTTTCTCCAAGGTTTGGGAAAATTGAAAAAGATTTATCTAGTGAAAAGTCTTCCAACAAGTTTGGCTTAGGGAAAGTTGTATCACTTATGGATGAGGAGAATGAAAATCTCAAGAAGCATATGAATGGATTCAACAAGATCATTGATCATTGAAAGAGGTTGATGTGAAGGTGCAGAATGGAGAAGGCATGTGTTTTCTCGATCTCTTCCAATTGTGAATTTCTAATTTGTGAGAAGATACAATAACATTAGATCAAGACAAGCATTGTTAATGTCTCGGAAGGAAGTAAGATTCGGTTGACTCGACATTGGTGGTCGAGGGTGAATAGTAAGTTAATAGCATGGGATCTAAGGGTGACAAGTTTAGATTTGGCATGTTTAATGCTTTCAATGCAAAAGGTATGACATATTCAGAGGAATTTCCTAGAAAAAGGATGAAAGTAATGGGAACAAAGTTGGGTGTGTTTTCTTATTGGATGACGATTGTGCGATCCTAGCAATCAAAAAAGGTATGGATGCAAATTCTAGTATATTATGTTTCATTTGTGTCACTCACATCTACCAACGAAAAGATTATTTGATTTGCTTCAAAAGGTATGGCAAAAATTTGACTTTGGGTGGTAAGTCAAAATGAAGGTATGGGTCTTAAAATGGTGAAAATCAAAATGTTTGATGAGGTTGTGCTCTTTTTGG